CGTTGATTTAAGACTTGAAATTAACCTAATTTGTAATATCTAGAGCCCAAGAAAAACGAGTATTTTTTTGTTTCATGTCTCTTGTGAAAATATGTTAGTTTATCATGTTTTAAGAGCTCCCTCAAAAAATCAGCTCAAAAAAAATTTTTTTAGAAGTCAAGATTTATAAAAATTTCCAAAATCGTCAAAAATTGAATTTTTTTTATTTTTTTCTCGTTATTTTATCATTTTCTAGGTTGAAAAAAATCTCTATTCTGAAAATTTCAAATCGATATTTTAATTTCTAAAGGTCACTCATAATTATTTTAACTTTCTATAATAAGTAGTATACCTAAAATGTTTTCGAGCGACCCAAAAATAAATATCAACGAACTAATAGTTTTTTTTATTGAATTTCATGAACAAAAGAATAGAAATAAATCACGAGAAACTTAAATTTAAAAAAATTAAAAAAATATAAATATTTGATACTCACAGTGCGGTAGTAAATTTTGCCTCGAGAAATGTTTTAAGTGTCTCGTGATTTATTTCTATTCTCTTGTTCATCAAATTCAATAAAAAAAATTATTAGTTCGTTGATATTTATTTCTAGAGGTCGCTCGAAAACATTTTAGGTACACTACTTTGACAGTTAAAATAATTATGAGTGACCTTTACAAATTAAAATATCGATTTGAAATTTTTAGAATCGAGATTTTTTTCAACCTAGAAAATGATAAAATAACAATAAAAAATTTAAAAAAATAATTTTTGACTTGGAAAATTTTAAAAATCTTGAGCGACCTCTAAAAAATTTGACGGGGCTCTTAAAACATGATAAACTAACATAATTATTTTCACAAGACACGAAAAAAAAAATTCGTTTGTTTTGGTCCACCCTAATCTAGAGATAGCCATGTAATATGCGACAAAAATGTCGGACCGTGTGAAAGAGACTTTAGAGCAAATAAATTCGTCGAGTTTTTATTTCAGAATTGCCAATAAAATGTTAAAATAACGGTTGCAAGCAAATATTTTTATAGTACTATAACGCATTTGTGTATTTTTAGGATCGCAATAGTAAATTAGAGTGAAATTATTGTTTTGTTCCAATAATATGTTCTATCAATTGACTTATAATTCGATTTAAAACCTCGTATTTATTGCAATTGTAGTATCTAGAGATCAGACCGTAAGCGACAAAAACGTCGTATCGTGTGAAACAGGCTTTAGGGGCAAATCAATTTGACCAGTTTTTACTTCACAATTGCCAATAAAGTTTAAGAATAACGTTGCTAGCAAATATTTTTATATATTATCTTTAACGGATTTGAGTATATTAACGATCGAAACTTTAAATATACCGCAGTGGATTATTTTCCTCGATGATACGTATTAAAATCTAGCATTTACTGTGTTGCTATGTCTATAAATATTGTTATAGGTATAAATATTGCAGATATCTATAGATAGACATGATAAGGTCGTAAGCGACTAAAGTGTCGGGTCGTGTGAGGGAAGCTTTAGAAGCAAATAACCTTGACGAGTTTTTTTTTTCAGAATTGTCGATAAAGCTTTGAAATAACTTGTATTTGTGTACTTTAAGGATCGAAATATTAAATTATAGTGCTCTGATTCCCTTATCCTCTGTAATACGTGTCATTAACGACGTCAAACGACTTAGAATTCGATTTAAAACCTTGCATTTACTGTAATTACAGTATCCAGAGACAGTTACATAATGAGGCTGATTATTCGTTAGCATAATGAATTCAATTACATCGAAACCGCGATCTGCACCGTATAATTCCGGACCAGCAACAATTATGTGGGAAATTACGGCTGCGGGGTGTAATTTGGCCTCACAAAACGATACAAATTAAAATGTTACCTTCTAATATCAATTATTAAGTCGAGTTAGTCGAGCCGGAGCAGTATAATACGTAAATAATTACGGAACCCTGTTGTTCGGCGGCTAGTACCCTTGACTGTGGACAGAAAAAGCGGCTATTAATAACCGCTTCCATTATCTTACAAGTAAGAATAATAGTGAAATAATAACTCAGTTAAAATACGTTCCATTTAAAGTCGTACACGGAAAGTCGTGATAAAAATGCAAATGACCCAGTGGCGTGCGCGCTCGGCGATGCGGAGTGTAATCTTACAACGCCTGACTGGTTCGCTACATTGTATTTTTAATTTAAAGTGAACATCCTTTTATACGAGGCAGGCAGGTGAATTTTAACGGGATGTTTCTCGGAGGAATCGACTTAATCTGAATTAGTGGAAACCGGCATAAGAACAGAGCAATTATTTGCGCCAGCTAAAAAGATTGGATTGGATATTCGGACCCAGAAATATGGATGAGCAAAGATAAAGCTACGGAAAAATCTTTGAAACGCGGTAATGGTAATTCTGAGCTACTGTTTGTCTTACACAAGACGAAAACCCAATAGCTTTAAAAGCTAAAAAAAAACAAAACTTGATTGTAGAGGACTAAAATTGAAACCAAAATGCAGAATTAACATCAAAATAAGTAGTCTTGCCCAATCCATTCTTCAGAAGATCGTCAATTATTGGAGTTTCCATAAAAATTTTCCACCCAAGTGTTTGGCAAACTAGAAATATTTTGGTATGAGGAAATAGTTATTGTGATACAATCGTATTTTTTTCAGAAATACAAAATGAGGACCTTCGTCAGCAACTATAAAAGTTCAAAAGAGCAATCCTGATAGGAATCAAAGAAGCAAGACAACAAAAATGTTATTGTAGAAGAGTAAAATTGATACTAGCCACCAAAATTAACACCAAACAGACGTCTTGCAAAATCCATAAGTTCATGTAAATGCCATAAAATAACATCTTTGGAATGAAATAATGGTGATTCTGAACTAATCTCGTCTTACAAAAAGACAAAATCAAGACGAAAATCAGCAATAAAGTTGCCAAAATGCCAATTTTAATAAGTACCAAAAAAAAACGCACATCTTTCACTATCCATTCTCTGTAAGTTCATTAAAATCTATAGTAAGTGCTTTTGGAATGAAGTAGTTATTAACTAGTCTTACCCTTACAAAAGATAAAATCAAGACCATAGTCTACAATAGTAAGAATAGATAGGACCAATGGTAATAAGACCTCAAAGTTTTACAACAAAAGTCTTGTTTGCAACGAAAATCTTCTTAGTAGAAGACCAAAACTTGATTGTAAAAGGGCAAAACTGAAACTAAGATGCAAGGGTAACACCACAACAGTCCGATATCTTGCACAATCCATTCTCTCTAAGATCCTTAAAATCCTTAATGGGCGTTGTTTTCAAGAACTTTTTCCATCCAAGAGTATGGACAACAAGAAATAAAATACTAATCTTAATCTTACAAAAGATAAAATTAAGACCATAGTCTACAACAATAAGAATAGAGAAGACCGATGGTAATAAGAGTATTACAACAAAAGTCTTGTTTGCAGTAAGCCAAAAACGTGATTGATTGTACAAAACTAATATTGAAAATACAACATTAACACCAAAAACTGACTGATACCTTACACAAGCCATTTTTTCTAAGTTTGTCAATGTTTACAATGCAATAAATGATAATGCTTTCATGAAAATTTTTCACTCAGGAGTATGAAACAAAAACATGGTAATGGAACTTTTTCGAGTGAGGCAATGTTTACTTTTAAGCAATCTCAGTCTTGCAAATAGACAAAATAAGACAAAAATGAATAAGAGTACAAAAGATAGACTGTAGTAAGAACCAAAAAAATATGACTAAAAAAAGTCGGAATACCAAACCTGAGTGGCACAAGTCAATTTGAAATCAAAATATGATTAGCACTAAAACAGATTGATATCTGATACAAACAAGTGATGGTTCCATGAAAATTTTCCATCTAGGAGTATGGACAAGCAGAAATCAAGTGCAATAAAAGGAAGCTTTAGGAATAACACAATGATTATTCTTAACTTAATCTACAAAATCTACAAAAAGACAAAATCAAGACCAGACAGAAGACCAAAACTTAATGGTACAAAACTAAAATTGATGACGCAACTTTTACTCCAAAACTGACTGATACCTTGCAGAATAACCTCTGGCTATGTGTAATGGCTATTCTGGCTTACAAAGAGACACAAATCAAACCAAAATCAACAATATAAAGAGTACCGAAAAACAATTGTAATAACCAAAAAGAATATGACAAAAAAGTCGGAAACCAAAACTTGATATAAGACAACGTGACAGCAAAATGCAAAATGAACACCAAAACAGATTGATACGTTGTACAACCCATGTTGTCCAAAATCGGAAATGTCTATAAAGGACATTCCTTAAATGATGGTGCTGGTTCATTGTCACATTCTTGTGGTCACTGACGAAGACAACAGCAGAAGACCTGGTCCAAAAGCGGTTTACTGGTTGATCCTCGGACATCATGACAAACATTTCGTGTACCTTCTGCGCGCCCATGCAAACAATTATTCTCGAATTATTGTTTTGCATACTTGAATCTAGAAATAAAGTAATTTAACTTTTCAACTTCTGGATATCGATCGCCCGGAACAAACTACCCCTTGACATGAACGGGCGAACTGCTTAAAAAAGGCCTCCTCTCCTAATTATTTGCTCAATGGCACATGTGCATGTTGTAAGTAAGAAGAGACCGAGACCTGTAATTTGCCACCATATAACGGAACCGGGGGAAAAATTGTATAACTACGGTGGCGTGGGCGTAATGGATAGCCAAGTATAATGTCTTAATGTTGGGGCTATAACGTTACTGCCTGTATTAAGATGATGGATTTGGTTTCTTGCCCAGAGAATCAATTTCTCAAGTCAGTAACATCGGGTAGGCTGTGCCTAAGGAACGGTTTCTCAGTCAATTACAAAGAACTAGCGCTAACAAGGATTCGATGCTACTACCCTAGTCCGTTAGATTGGTGAAATAATATAACAGCTAGAAATATTGAAGCCGATTGAAGCATGTAATATATTGAGTGATAAAATTATGGTACTTACAGCCACTCTGCTCTCCTTGAGGTCCAGTCTCATCGCCAGAGCTTCCCTCATGAAGACGTCGGGGTAGTGGCTGGCTAGGAAAGCCCTTTCCAATTCTTCTAGTTGCCAACTGTTAAAATTCGTCCTACTCCTTCTTCTTTTGGAAGCCGCGCTTTCTGAGTCTGCCTCACCGCTACTTCCTGCTCCACCTAAAAGGAGAAAAAACAAATGAAATGGAAGTTTTTTTGAAGATATGATGAGTTATATCGATCGACGTTGCCATTTATTTACAAAGAATACACAAAAAAATGGTCAGACCCTTTGAATCTGAAATAAGTCTGGTACAACACTCATCATTTTCGAAAAAAAAAACCCCAAATCTTCAAAAAATGGGTTATTTGCAAATATACATTAAAAAAATCTACCATTTTCGATAATACAAGGGAGGTATGCGATTTAAGGCCGAAACTCTTTTGTCCTTCTCTTTTTACCTCTAACCTTACATTCTCTTTCCATTATCCAACAGTAATCTGCCATCATATTCATGTCCCACTTACTTGACACCTTTTTTCCATTTCATTTATATCTTGGTGAATTCGCCACTTAGGGCCTGAACATTTATTTTTTCTAATACATACTTCATATTATCACAACCTTCCTTTAATTTTGTTGAGTGTATTTGTATTACCATTATCTAACATGACTGGAGTAATGATGAAGATTTGATTTCTTCAGATAGAAGATTTTTCTGTTTCTAAATTTTCAGTCCCGTCTTTTGGTAAACCTATGTATGTAGATTGCGAATAAGATCATTTTATTCCATCCCACAGTATATATTAGTCTTCACTGTGCATTCCACTGTCATCGTCTCCTTCCTCGTATTCCTTCCTTCCTCGTATTCTTCTTCTTCACCTCGAAAGTTTCCTTCATTTTCAGTTTCATTATCAGCAGTTCATCATGGCACGATATCATCTACTTCTACAAAGTTTTCTTCCACGGAAGAACTCGCTTCAATGATATGGATATGCGTATTGCATTACGAAGAGTTATTGTGGCTGACGAAGCATTCGCATATTTTATCTTTAGTTGATGTATACGAGTATACCTTAGCCTGCTAAGTCCGTCATACAAAAATAACAGACTCCAAGAGAAATATTTGCAAATAGCCCTTTTTTATGATTTGGGGGATCTTTTCTCGAGAAACCATTCTGGCGCTAAACTAACTTCAGATTCGTGTTCAGTGGTTCCGGAAACACAGCAATCTGATCAGAAGAACATACAACTTTTTTGTGTGTGTGTCTGTGTTACTGAAGTCTAGAGGAAATGAGTAAACTCATAAAATCGCCACCACCACCAAATATGCGAGCGCCAGACGAATACAGTTTGCTACTTGTTGGATGCGATAAAAGCCGAAAAACAACTAACTGTGGCGGATTTTAACAGCCCGGAATAATTGAATGCCTTTTTTTTGGCGGTTAGCAATTCAATTCTTATTCATTCCCCCAACGGCTGTAAAGTTTCATCGACAATTTGAAAGTTTCCATTAAATAAATGAGGGGAGTTTGTTGGGGATGTCGATATAACAGTTTTAATATTAAAGATTTATACGAATAAGGTAAAAACTGTACACTTTACAATAAATTGACCAATTATTTGGTCGATTTTAAATCTACCAAGTTATCTATCAATAAGAACAAACAACAAACTTTAAAAATATAAATAAGTAATGCACAGAGAAATGCATTTAAAAAATATTATATTATTGTGATTTTTCTGTTGTGTGTATACAGGGTGTTTCAGGATTAAATAGACAAACTTTAAGGAGATATTCCTCATAAAAAAATAAGAAAAAAAAACAAGTATAATTTTTTTTCCAGAGATGCTTCATTTTCGAAATATAGGGCGTTATTTTTAAAAAAATTCGATTTTTTTTAAATAACTTCCAAATGAAGAAGGCTATTTAAGCCAAATTTGGCATGACACATCTTCTTATAAGATACCATTTTTCCATAGAAGTAGAAGTCCCGCAAGCAACCAGTAGCGGAGTTATGGGAATGCTACTTAAAACACATAAAATAAATAATTATTATTGAAGAGAAATAATGTATAAAATTCGTCACAATCATGTTATTGTCTACTGATGAATAGAATAATAACTCGTTTGAAGACTTTTTACAGTAATTTGAGTTGGAAATACTGATTATAAATTCCAGAGTACCTCAAGGAACCATATTGGGCCCCATAACGTTTATTATCTATACCTTATCCCTTAATATATCGATCGATCTAATGTTACTATGTAATCGCGTCTGTAATGAAGGCATTTGAAATCCGAACACCCCGTATATTGAAGTAACGTGTTAATTACCGCCGAGCGCGAACAATCCGCTCTCGGCAGCCAGCGTCCATATATTAAAATCCAATTTATTCCTAATAATATCATTCATTAATCTGGAAGTGTTTATAACTTCATCCGAGCGCATAAAGAGAGAGCAGTCCATTCTTAATAGCCGCGCCGAGCGGTGCATAAATTTGCGAGAGAGGGCCGCTCTTACAGAGATATAACTTGGCCGGACTGACAACGTAAATTGACTGTATCGAATTTACGACGAGCGTGAAATTTTAAATTACGCTTGATTTTTGCTCGCGAAAATGATTGTGTTTTGAGGTGGGTTCGTTCTTGCCGGTGTCCGCCATACATCTGGTCAAAACGGGAGAGCGCGTAAATAAAAAAAATGTCTGTAATTCGTATAGCAATCCTTTACAAGTGTAATAAAGAATAATTTTAGTAATTAAAGTAGTTTATCGTTGCAAGGATGTTATACTCTAGTGCCTTCAGTGTTTGCATCTATTTCGCCTAACATGGTGCAGTGATTGCCATAGATAATGCGCCTTACCAGAATCAATGAATAATAAATTGTCAAGATCTGCATGGAGAAAAGGAATTACCATGAAATTAAAAATACAACGTCTCCTACTATTAATCCTATAATAAAAAAGGGAAAAGTCTACGTGGGTGATAATAGGTCATATTAGCATACATAAAAAAGTACCCATGTACCTGTTGCATATTTGGCTACACCAAAATGAGCGTAAATGTGTAAGGATGATCTAGTCTATAACAAAATCGGCATATCTATTTGTTCTGATTTTAATAATTTTTGTAACTTTTTAAAATGATACTCCTATGGAACAACATTGCTCGCATGCCTTATCTGTCGTGGGGATCTACATATTGAGGTCTAGTCGCTACGCTACCTACAATTTTGTCATTAGAGTACCTATATCTTAAATTGAACCTAAAAACTGGTCTAAATATGAACCTTGCGTCACTCCTGAAGGGGAAATATAAAAAACCGCTGCAATTCAGTTCAATATTCGCAACTAACGGAGTTTAAATCATTTAAAAGTTGGCGGCAAGTTGGAAATCGTTATTTCGCACCACGATCCCAAGTTTGTCGCGAAGTCTTGTTCCCAAACTATTCTTTTATTCAGCGTTGCGGCCGGTATAAATCTTTGAGGACGTCGTGTGTAGAGGCGGAAAACGAATACACAGCAAAGTTTTAATTTAACGTCTCCGAGCAAAATTTCATAACTTCGGCTCGTTGTCTGGGGTGGTCCCTCGTCGTATACATATTTCGTTTTATGCGAAACGAAATTTTATCTGGACTATCTATCTACGTCTGGCCGGGCAGCTATTCCCTAAATTGAATAAATCATATCCGCTGCAACAGTACAGGGTGGAAGGTCAAAAGAAATATATGTGCGAGTTTGGAAAAAAAATAGAAACCTAATGTTGGTATATATTTATGTATTTATTTATTCTGCTATCAATGCTGCATCCATCTATGGGCACGAACGATATTAGAGAAGGTATAGGTCCTAGAACTTCGGGAAATAGATTTTGATTAATAAATCGACCAAGAGAAATCGCTGGAAGTAGTTTTCAAGTTCGTAGCTCGGCCGCTAGGAGGCGCAATCTATATACCGAAATATATAGTTGAATTTTTCTCAGAAATGTTTCCTATTCAGGTATATTAAATAGTACAAATATGGATAACTGGATTCATTGCGCATAACTTTTATCATTGACATTTTGTTCCATGTTTTGACAGAAAGTGTGGGGGACGCCCCTAATGTTTGATCAGAAAAATGCATTTCTTTAAGGATTGGCTCATCAAAATCCCATAGTGTTATACCTCGTTGGAAAGGTCTTTTCATCCTTTATCGCGTGGTGAATGTTTAATGTCTTTTACCTTAATATGGAAACCTATAGAGGGCGTTATTTCAAAAGAATGCCGGTTTATGGATTTTTCTCAAAAATTTTAAATGCAATGCTAGTTTTCTTTATAGTTTGAAATTTCTAATGAAAGTGTTGTTTATTTATTGGCCCTATTTATCCAAGTTTAGATTGTTTCACGTTTTCTTAAAAAAGTGAAATAGCAGGATAAAACTTTTTATAGGTTCGTTTGAAGAGCATAAAAATAGCTACATTTTGACACCAAAAAGGGTTCGATATCTTCTTTTGTTATCAAGTTATTCGCAAATTAGTGAGCAAAAAATAAGTGATGAATCGCTCATAAAAATAATAAAACTGTGGTGCCGATGTTCCCACTGCAATAAACTAAAATATTCTAAAACTTACTCCATTTGCGCTGGATTTAAAATTTTATTTTTTTAGGTAATAAGTGAGGTTAAAAGGAATAAATAAAAAATATGGGTTTGATACTTATCAATCTTTTTGTAGTTTTTAATGCAGTTAAAAAGTGGAAACACCATATTTTGGAAAACTAATGTAGGAATAATTGTACGTTTCTTTAAACAATAAGTTATGTCAAGTGCTCGACAAATTGGTAAATTCTTTTACAAGAGAAAATGACTAAAAAACATTTAGTCAATGTCGTCAACAAATTCCATAAAACAAACAATTTATGAAAGGTTTTAAAAAATTCAATTTTTTTCACGTTTTCACTTATCAAGTTATGTAAAAAGGCCGAATTAAGATACCAAAAAACTATTTAATAATAGTTTAGTTGATAACGAACACGCAAAAATAATCACTTAATTTATTGCAGAATATGTTATCAACTAAAAATACTGTTTAGCAAAACACGCACATATACAGACTGTTAAATGTTAAAACACAATTCTAATGTTAACATTAGAATATTTTAAAAAATACCTACTCACAGAGCTAGCGCTTTAAAAA